GTGCGTAAAGACAAAAAAGAAACGTGAGCATCATAATTATAGGTTTAGGTACCGATTTCGAAATTGATTTAGTTTTGCTTTCATATAATTACGCACAGATTTGATTGTTTATTCATTTTGTTGGTATATTTGAGATGTTCGTATCGCTCTGATGACCATGACCTTTTATACGGAAATTGAAATTATTTAAATATTATGGTCGGCTACATTAAAGACTAGCCTGTGTATTTGTAGAATGGATTACACCATTTCCTCTATTAGAGAAATATATGCAATTGTTGCAATTTAGCCTTAGATAAACTTGGCATCGTTTTTTTTGTTAAAAGTGGTTTCAAATTGATGATTTTTAAACAAAGTGCTTGGATACGGAATGCAAGTATTAGTTGGTAGACCTCTAAATTTAACTGCAGCCTTATCGAATATTTCAGCCTCTAAGTATGAAGGGGAAGAATATCACGTTTGTAACGACTTTCCAGTATGGTCTCAAATTATTTCGATTTTACATATTTAATATCACCCGTGTACTGGCCGCGCGAAACGTTGCCAAAAAACGGCTATCGCAACAACTACCTGGCGCTAGGAAGCTAAAAAGAGAAAACCCCTAAATTATTCCAATAATTGAAATACATAAAACGTAAAGAATTTTACTTACAGAGTAGGAATTTATTTTTTCTGGTTTTTAATAGTACTGAATTGCGGAATTTATTTTTGAAGCAGTTGATAATATAATTTTCGAAGTTGCAAGAAAAGTGTTCTCAGCCTTTCAAGTATCATAATCTCATCTTTTGGACGTAAAGATATTGAACAGTGATATATCACTAAATATCAATAAACTTAATTGAACTCTAATTTAATGTTAACATAAACAAAATTCAGTTTTTTTGTAAGAAAGAGCCCCCATGGTTCTGAAAAGCTTGCGCCGGAACGTTCGCTCTAGGTCATAGATTCCCAACCTTTTTTTAAGCATCATCCCCTCAAGGTGCAAAAAAATGATGGCCGCTCCCTAGTCGTTCAATCATAGTCATAGTTACTTTTGATTAAGTTTTCGGTACACTGACGCACACTGCTGATAATAGACTTTTTACATTCTTTCAAAACTAATATCTCTCTCCTCCCTCGCCGATATCCCGCCCTCCGGGACACTCGCATCAATTGTTGGTTTTCTAGAAACTTCACTAAACCATTGGTGGCAGTGTTGCCAAGTAGTAAATGACAGAAATCTGAGAATGGCCGCCTGGAAGTCACCAGAAGTCACTAGGTGGTGGAAATTTTTTTGGTGATTTTTTCTCCAAAATCTAGTGATTTCTAGTGACTTTTCACAACAAAACCACCAATTTTATTATTAAATAAGTATGCAATCAAACGTTCAACATTTGACAAATTCCCTAAAATCACATCATTAGTGTTTAGGGGAATTTTTCGAAAGAAAAAAAATTTCCCTTATGTGACGGCTTTGTACGTCCGTCTGTTCCTCGTATAACTCGAGAACGTAAAGAGACAGCAATGTCAAACCTTTACCAATCGATTTCTACAAGTTCAAGGATCAGTGCTATTGAATATGAGCCGAATTAAAAGTCGCGTTTCCGAAAGCGAGCTGCCAAAAAATTCCCCTACTGAAAATCGTATGTGATTCTTCGTATCTTGTTTCTTTCATAACATAATAGGACTACTTACCTACTACAGGAAATAGGACTTTTTAAATAAATGAATACACATTTTTATTGAAAAAACGCGAACATTTCGAAAATTCACACATTTATATATACAGCATTGCGGTTTTTTTTTAAATCACCAGATAGTCTCCACATGTATGTTGAAAATTCCCAGGGAAGCGTCAATGTAAGTTGTGACTGCCGGGCGGCACCGGCGGAGCCTTACCTAGTTACTACTTCCATAACGCCATAACCGTCCCTCTGTATAACTCTCACCTGCATACTGCCCCCATGAATTGCTTCAGCGCCCCCGTTCGGAACCTATGCAATCTAGGTGATCGAAATATTCGTTCCAATACATCCCGCACTGGAATATTAAGTAAAACTGTCCCTAAAAACTAGATTAGGAAAGATTGCCCTCGAAAAAAGCATCCTATTCGCCCACTAAGATACTCGCCTTTGGAAAAGAATAGGTAATACGTGCGAGTTCCTGTCTATTTCGCCATAAATCCTATTCATTACAACTCTGAAGAGAATACTAATGCAAATACAGAATAACACTTTTGCCTTGTCTAATCTCCAGGAAGAGAATTTTTCTTCAGGACAAGGTTTTCCTACAGGAGAAATATTTCGACGGCAATTGCAAATCCTCCTTTAATGAAACTATGGGGGGGGGGGGGGAGTCGCTTATCAAGACCTGTCAAATGCCTTAACAAATCCCTTACAATTTCTGGCCTCTACAAATAAAATGGATGTTTTTTTGTTTTATATTATTTATAAACCCCTAAAGCGGATCTAAAAGAGAGGCCGAGCAACTTCATTGGATTTGACCCATTTTCTATAGAATTGTTACATGTAGCATATCGACCCAAGCGGTTGGCAATTATCGTGTTCGGACACCATCGACTCTCTATAAAGCTTAGCATCGCTTTGCTCTGCCGTTTAACAAACCAGGACTACTTCTTACACGTAATTTGGAAAGCGCAGTTACCATGATTTATGAAACCAGAAAATTATGATTTATAATGGTTTGTGCAATTGCGATTTTGACTAAATGTATTTCAGTTCTTAGTAAAGTGTCTATAGAACATAAGTAGTAGAAAGTAGTAGAAAGAGAACTTTGTTCAGTAGTTCTTTTATTTGGTCTATTAAAAATACAAATGATTATTTTTGTAAAATATTTAAATATTAACAGCATCATTTGACTCAACACGTGAACATAGCTGCGCCGCTGCTCAAGATTTCTTTGGCTTTTTTATGTTGATAAAAAGTGCACCAATAAATTACAATTTAAATGTGTACACTAGTTAATTTTGAAGGCACATTTAATACGATATTCCCAATCAAATGTGGTTTAAAAAGCTCGCAATTCCACATAGCGTCTCGTGGCAAATGAGATAAATACTTGAAGCGTCTCGTGACGAAGCGTATTTTACAGGATGAGATAAATTTATAGTAGTCCCGTGCAAAACGTAGTCCATAGTACCAAGCGATAAGAACTACTCACTTCAAAAATGTTGTATAACTTCCAGATAATTATATAAAAATCAACAAAAAATAAGCCACAACCTAAAGCCTAGCTTTTACAAAGACTTGATTTCCAAAAGAATTCCATGATTTAAAAAAAATACATGATTTGCATAAGAATTCCATGAATGCCAAGAGGTTGTACACCAGAATCCCACATTGGTTTGTCCCTCGATAATAGCCAGGTTTATTTGTCAGTACAATAATAATACGCTTTTATGCCCCTTAAGTTTGTATATAACAATAGAACAAACAACAGAAAACGCTGTTCTTCCATATATCCGCCATACAATACAAAGTATCTGTGCTAGCTACGGAAAATGTTGTACGTGTGTTTTCAAATTCACTTTTATAAGAAGCATCATCAGTTAAAATCCGTTTCTTGACGTTTGATCATACGTTAATTTATTTTTTTAGGAAGCTTCTCTTAAAATTTTTCAAAAAATCCGTTTATAAATTAATAAGTTGGCTCTGAACATATGCAATTCATTTCTTCAAACTGTGGCACAGCAATAATTCCTTCCTTGGCGTAAACCTCGACACCAAAACGAACCAAATAACGAAAAAAGTAGGGAAATAGTTCTTAAGACAAAAATCTGATAGTGGCACAGCCAGGGACGGCCGGAAAAACAAAGTGGCCCAAAAGAGCCCATTTTTTATTATTGTGAATATGCGCTAAAACATTACAAACAGTTAATGCAGTTCTACAATGCAAACTTCATTTCCTTGAATATAAATCCTGTCAGTACCTAAAACGGCCAGATCCATTTGCTAGCTTTTTATTGTGTATATCTTTGCCATAAATAAAAAATGAAAAATTAAAAAGAAAACTGTGATCACAAGCAGTTTTCTAACTTCTTGACGTTCTGAGAACGTTAAATATAAAAGCTCAACATTAATTTTGGATGCATTCTGATTCTACAATTAATTTTGAATGAAATCTTCTTTCCTTATTCAGTTATATCAAAGAGTAGGTATACAAAATATACAACATTTATGCCAGTATTATAATGATCGGAAAAAGAAACATTGGAGTATAGATATTCCACAAAATAACATGTTTCTAAATGGAACGCCATCATATACATTTAACGCATATTTTAAAGAAAAAATTTACTCTCAGATATTTTGCTCTTGTACATTTTTTGTTGTTGAGAATGAGATCAATGCCTATCGCTTTGTAACTCTCTTATTAATAACTTGAGGATGGCTATGATGTGTATAAGATTTTTGTATATAGAATCGCATTTTCTTTCAGAATATGCCGATCATTTAAACATTTTTATCTTGTGGGGATAACCTGACCACTAATAGTCCATCAAGTGTAAGTTTGTTCTCACTTGTCCGTCTTCGACTTGTTCTTCGTGTTCGTTGTCGTCCTCGTCTTCATCTCGTTAGACAGAGAAAGGATGCGTATACTTTAACTCTAGCTTGAATTAGCAATGATAACGAATATGTTTAAATTTCGTCTCTTGTACTACTTCCATTACTCTTATCTTCGACTAGCGCTAGTGCTATGAATAAAACGTATATGTAGTCAGGCAGGTAATCAAAAAAGGATTTTAGGTTTGGATCCTGTGGACCCACACAAGAACCTGATAAACATCATAAATCATTTTCAACATTTGATATTGGATTTGTAGGACTTCACTGACTACTTCATCCCGAGGAATAGCAGCACAAACTTCGAATTCGCTTTTATCATTATTTTACATGGTTGACAGTCTCCAAGGTTTACAGTTCAATTTTGCCAAAAAAAAAATGGTAGTTCAAATTTAGTGTTACAATCTTTCTGTTTAGACGTAATAATAAATCACCTACCGTATATGAGATCTCTGAAGTCCTCTATTATCTGCACTCTCGTATCGGGATCTTCATTAATCTCGTTCCTTGCGTAATCCAGGACTTCTTCTGGTGGTTCCCCTAAATCCAAAGCGGATAGCACGGGGTTATCACTGGGCATTTCGACGTTTTCATTCTGAAAAAGAAAACGTTCTATTAATTGTTGCGAGACAGAAAACGTTTATTTAGAGGCACAACACGTGTCGTTTGATTACCTAAATGTGATGCATGCGTTTCATTATAATAATGAAGTGTATCAAGACGGGTTTAACCTACTTTCAATATTTTTATAACCGCAATATAATTGATGTTTGCTACAAACCGGAAAACACATTTTAAGTGATCTCTCGGGTTTATTACAGCACCCATGACGCAAAACGGTATTGTAGGTAATTAGCAAAATATGTAATTCTGTAAAGGATCTCTAATTCTGTACGATGAAAGTTGATATGTGTAAAACTCAGTATGAATATTATAACATGCAATGAATGGTTACCATATGCATTACTGCAATTTTTCAAATATGTAGGTAATTATTTACCATTATGTAAGAATGGCGATACAATATTTGTACAATTATGGAAGTAAATACCAATCTGTGTTAAGTGTTCCTGCAAAGGACACGTTTCATCATACATTTGTCATGATATATGTAATAACTATCACCAAAAACACAGAAATTGTACAGCGTTCTACAATGTCATATATTGCACCATAGACATTTAGCAAGAATTTGAAGACAAATGGTTTTTTTCTGAAGCAGCAGTGATGAAATTATGATGATAATTTAACCGAACATAAGACTAAAAGTGAAAACCAGGCATAATATAGTACAGATTTTTTTTGTTAAAAAGCTTTGCTGTACAGTTTATTTTTCAACATATTTTCTTCTACACGAATAACGAAAGCAAAAAAAAAACGTCGTGACGTGTTGGTATACAGATTCTGATATCCCTCAAAAACATTTGTTCGTTACGGTGATGAATTTAGCCGAGGGACATTTCTGCCTAATAAGGAATAGATATGTGAATTTATCTATGACGCGGTGGTTGACCTGGCGAATATGGGTTCGGAATAACATGAAATTGCAATTTATCCTCTTTCATGCGAACAACATGGCTGTGTATAAGAGTGCATTATCATGAATGAAGCTATTTCAAACAATCTGCTCTAAATTTCACTAGGAGGAGGGGATATGTGAACTAAGTGAAATCCAAAAATATTGTGGTCATTATCTTCCAATCCGGAAGAATATTCGACCCACTATAAGGAAAGATGTTACTCGGCAACAAGGCTCACTGGTTACTATAATACGGTACAAATGTCCAATTGGCAGGACCCATTCAACAAACTACAAAAGTGTCTGCTTAATTGACACAAGTTAAAAATTGACCAAGTCAGATAAAGAACATATAAGTTAATTATTATCAAAGACTATCCTCCTCTAGTCTTTGTTATTATGCAAATATGCATCAAGGCAATGCATTTTATAGTTTCTGCGTCAACTGCGGCAACTAAATTTAAAATATAACAGGAATAGCGTAAGATTTAGCTCCCGTGCATCATCAATGTGTTTGCATTTACCCCATGCAATTCGATAGAATTCGCTCTACCAGCAACTGATAGACCTCAACGAGACGCATCTGTCATCAAAGGCACCTCAAGAACGGTGTGCCGGGAGACAAAGAGAAAGTGCCTCGGAAAATGCGCAGTCGCCGTTCGCACGAATGCGTACTTTTTGTCTTTGTTAGTATTTTGAGGTAATTATGTGCCATTTATTGCTAATGTTTACAATTTTCATGTTCTCATCTGGTAAGAAATAACCATAAGCCTATTGGTACAGCCATACCCACAGTGTCAAATAATATTTATGTTACATCTCAGAAAGAGGGATGAAATTGAGTCTAACCAAGCCAAGCCGAACTTTTTGAAAACTCGGTTCGGCTTGAAATACGGCTCGAAAAAAATTCAGTTTAGCTGAAATTCGGAATATTTGGAAAAAATCCAAATTTAATAATCATGGTGATAAGTCCAAAATTCAAATAAGAAGCAATTCTATCTTGATTTTGTAGCCAAACAGTTTTTGCTCACCTTCTTGATACCTGCGCAAGCTATAGCTAAAAACAAAATCTAAAGTAAAGAAATCAATATTAACTACAAAAATAGTTACTACACTTTTCTCCTTATCTGCCCTATTGTCGAGAAAAATAACATATTAAGAAGTCTTTAGGGATTAACGGCGCGTAGCAAGTGCTTCAGAGACCAAATATACACGCGTTTCTGATAGTTTTTTAAAATTATACCTGCAGTATAACTTAAAAATAAGGGAAAAAAAATCATATCGATTTTATACTCGAATCCATTTTGGATTAAGTGGGCTGATTATTCGAAATTTCACGATTGCTATGGAAATGGCACTTAATGCTTGTTAAAATTGACCGTCATTAGTAATAAAATGAATTTGGTTGAAAAATAGGTCATTCATTCAGTGGTTTTCTTGCAGAAGCAGAAGAGAAGTCGCCACTTACAAAACCCAGTGAAGACTATTACAAAGATTATGAAATTGATGGTGATGGATGAATCAGAAGCATTTTACGAACAAAGCCTTAAATGCATAAAAAATTCTGGTATATATCAAGGGAATGGTACAGATTTGACCGCATAGATACGCTAACGGTGTCCGTTTGTGAAAGCTTCAAACAAAGGATATACAAGTCAAATAAATCTTTTTCATTTACAAAAGAAGCATTTGTCATAATCACGGTGATGTTCAATTTAGCAATATGTATATTTATTTCTATTTAATAATTATACGCAGCAACTTACAATAATACATAGTACAGAAAAAAACCATTGATAAGATCAAGATGTTTGGAAAACATTCGATCTCAAAAGTGGAATGCGTCATTGGATCTTATTACAAGTTAATGATGTCATTCATATAGGGTGAATTGCCCATCAAACACAACCAAACAGTAGAAATCCCTTAAAAGTGAGCTTTAACGCACAGGTCACTTTTTCGGATGGGACACCAAATGTATTTAATTGACCATGATACATTTCTACAAAACCACCTATGGCCTATGCTCAATTTGCTGTGTTTTCTGAACGTTTTCGTATGCCTCCTTTAGGTCTACCAAGTACAGGGACTTCTACTAACTATCCATAACGAGACAACAGCCGCCAAAGTAAAATTGGATATCTACGTCATCAAATGCAGATATTTGATTTTTGAAAAATGTTTGGAGATATCTGAAATAAGGGTCAGAAATGGACGGTTTCTTCTAGGGGCACTTTTTTGCGGAGAATCTGAATCTGTTGGAAATTGGAAATGGATATTCTGGTAACATATTCTATTCTTCGAAGGTTTTTCGATAATATCTAAGATATTTACAAAAATTTTTCAAAAATTTAAAATTCGTTTTAATTAGTGACATAAAGGGGCAACTTTGCACCCATTTAACCTACACTGCATCTCTCACTATTGCGGAGATTGCAATGGTGCGCCACCCGATACAGGGTGTAGCATCCTAGCATCTAACGCCCCTCGGATCCTCCATAAAAGATATCTGAAAAAAATGTTGTGTACATAAACAGCTTTCCAAATAAAAATAAACAAATCCTTCACCAAACTCATTAGGATGAAGTTCAGACTAACTAACCAAACAGTTGAATTATCTGTTCTTGCACTTCACCCCCAATTAACAAATTATTCTTATTGTCATGTCAAGACAATGAATATAATTATAAAACAAGAAAAAAAATAAAGAAAAAGAAATTATGCGCATTGAACCCAAATAATACATCAATAATATTGTAAATAACAAAATAATAAATAAAATAAAATGATTTGCTAATGTATAAGAAACTAAAAATATACTGATAAACTACTGTCGCTCAAAGAGATATTTTTGGTATTTGGACTTGAATGTTTTTGGGGAAAACGACTTAAAGTCATTAGGGATTTTGTATGATTTTTATCAAAAACCATTTTTTTTCTTGCCAAATGGAGTACATACCAGGGAAACAAGTCATATGAAACTTTCTAGGTAAAACTCTCTTCAATTACAATTTTTCTTTTTAGCTGTAGCTCTATAGTTTCTGAAATATTAAACAAAAATCATTATGGCCGATGGCGATTTCCTATCTTAATTAGGTATAGGAATAGAAAAGAATTAATTTCACCAATGACGAAATGATTGTTGAGCAGTGTAATTAGCATAAAATTAGACAGAAACTAATTAATTACTCTCCTAGTCGACACGAACTACCTACTAGAAGATTGACCATTTTCCTCAACCTACCATATTATTATTACGCTGGCAACTGCAAATAGGAATTGGACGACGTGTTTGTTGTAAATTTGAATTGTGATGTAGTAACATGCGCCATTTTTTAAGTCGGTGTATATGGATAATACTTCGTTTCTAGGTACGATAATTGATAGAATACAACTTATCATCCAGTTCTCGACAAAAACAGAACAAAAAGAAAATGACATTTAGGGATGTTTGATTCGCCCCCATTATTAAGCGGAGTAAGTTCTTCAATTCCCCTTCTTTTTTCACAGAGAAAATCTTGAATTACATTATAGTAATTTCCTGCTTTCATTTTGAGCATTTACCCACCTCATGGTCCGTGTTGCGACCTTTGGAAATTGATCGTTTACCTTTTGCATAACGTTATCGTAATGTTTTATCTTTATCTTGTTTTAAAAGTTTAATTTACGTTTATACAGCCCAGGTGACAATTGACGCATGTAAACTGGGCTTCACTGTTTACAAAGATTAGAGATTAGCAGGATCTGTCCATGGTTCAGTTGTAAAAAATGAGTAATGCAAGAAACAAGGTACATACAAAGTTCACTGTCAATGACTAGGAAACGATATTATCTAATCTTCGCATTGTTTTTGAAGTACTGTCGGAATGGTGTGTGGGACGAACTGCTTGAACACAAAGGGTTAGGCCATAATGAAATTCATTAGTGCACTGAATTGCATTAAACCTTAAAATTAGGCTAATACTGCGTAGGTATGTGTAGAAGAATATTTTCAGTAAGACTGTGACGACTATTTCCAATATGTGTTAGCATCAATCGTATTCAAACAGAAATGTTTGGTGGGTCCTTATTTAGATGACGATGTAAACAATTTGCGTTTCAAAATAGTAAGTGAAAATTCTTTCTTAAAAACTAGCAACTTCAAAACATTTACGAATTACCTCATTTGTATCCGCAGTCTTGACACTTTTCTTTTTTTTAAAAAACGAAAGCATCGCGTTGAGGCTTGTATTATTACTTTACCACGCACAACTTAATAGTGTACTGATATCACATATACTGAAAGTGAGGGTAATTTTATTTAGACCAAGATAATTTGATCGTCTACATATTTATCGCTATCATATCATAAATAAGTGACAATAGAATACAAAAGTCAATTAACTCGATCTCGTACTATACTGGTGATTGACGTTTAAGTGGATGTACACGCAATTCGTTTTCTTCAGATACTGTTGATCCATTACGAGGTTCAGGTGAACGAACGAGAAGTTGACTTAATGACACAATAGGTCAATCTGTCGCAGTTCAAGTTCGATATCAATTATCAAACCATAGATTAAGATTCAATATAATGCTGAAACAAAGGCAATGTTTGATCCGTAATGCGCTAACGATTAGCCCTTTTCCGGTCGTTAGTAGTGCTTTCAACGAGAGTATGAAGTCAGCACTGCACAAGAGGGGGTCGATTTCTCGGAAACGGCCGGTCGTGCTGATGCAAGTTATAAAGCACTAAGAGGCACTAACGAAGCACTAACGATTAGTACTTGTCCAGTCGTTAGTGCTTTCAGCGAGAGTAGGAAGTCAGCACTACACAAGGGAAGGAGGGGAGTCGATTTCTTGAAAACGGCCGGTCGTGCTGATGCAAGTTATAAAGCACTAACGAAGCACTAATGATGTGATCAGGTACCGTCGTTAGAGCTTTAATGACCGTGCTTCACGGACCTTCATTCTTCCACTAGCTCATCCAGTAAAGAACGGATCCAGCACTGTACTGTGATTCTGAAACATGAATGTTTCAACAAAGCTGGCGGTTTCTGGTGCCTTCTACTCGTTTCTTCTCGATTTACCCCAGATGCCCAACCAACATTTCATTATAAATTTAATAATCAAAGTTACGATGTAGTACTATTTATTGTCGAAAACCAAAATTCACGCCGAGCAGAAATTCCACTTTGAAACAATATGATACGAAACACCCATAGAAATTATGCCGGTGAGATTTTCTTTCGTTCTAACGCAGTTCCAGACATTCGAGCATGTTTGTTCCTGTGACTCGACGAACCATACATTTTACCCATTATTATAAATCATCCAAATGTTGAAAAACTGAAGTAGTTTTCTCTGATTTGAAAAAAAATTAAGTTAGCTACCGAGAAGTTGGATAATAGTTATTTATTTATCAAGTGTGTCATTACGTTCTTTTTCCCTGCAAGAAAGGCTTAATTCATCAAGTAAGTACAGAATGACACACGAGTCAGGAACAAGATTTTATCCTTCCTGAAGCTCCTTTCTTCCATTCCAAGAATTTTAAAGTTTTTCGGTTGCTCATTCGTAGATTTTCGGCACTCATTTTGCCTTTCAACAGTAGACTGCTATTTCACGACTGAATTAGCGAAGCGGACAAAAAGTCTAGTATGCGCTCGCTGCCTTGGAAGAGTGCGCACGATAAGGAGCATGCGGGGTTTGAAAAATGGTGCCTTTTGAAAAACGTAAATGACGTCTTGGAGATTCCTCCGCTTACTTGCACATTTGGAAGAACGTTGCGGAGCAAATATTGGATGCTCTGTACCACATTGAAGAACCACAAGAAGCTGGATATTTGAAAACATGGGCAGCTGATAGTGTTCTTGACACACGCACGTACAAGCCGAAAAAGGCGAAGACTTTGGACAAAGGATGTGTAGAGAGGTTCTTAAAAAGGCTCCAGAGAAAGAATTTTGGATGGCGAAGGTACGCACTGATATTCAGGAAATGTTCGGAATTTTGTTAATTTTAGATAGCGTTATTGATTGCAATCGCTGGTGTCGATCCCCTGAACTTGTATCATAGATACATTTCTCTTCTACCGCAGAATGTGGCCCATGACAGATGGTTTGTAAACTACAGACTAGAAAAATATTCAGTTCATCCCGTGAGGGTAAACCATTTCCCAGAATCGTAGCTGAGTGGTTGGGACTGCCATACGACATCAGCAATGGATATATGTGTTGCATACGTCTCAATCACCCTTTGTGAGTACCTCTTCCGACAATCCGTTCTTGAAGTATAAGGGAATATACCTGATCACGATCAGAGGTCGAGGAGGAGGGCTATGGTTGGTATAAATTAATTCCTTTCGTTGAGACCTTTCATTAGAGTACCATGAAGGATAAAACTAGTTCCACTACCCCCCCCCCCCCATCCACCCGTACTTTGATCAGAGAACAGAAAGAAGGGCAGTAGTTGGTAGAAAACGGTTCCTCTCGTTGATCCTTTAATTAGAATACAATGAGAGATAAAATTATAGTTTGTACAAACCAATATTTATTTCGATGATACCCTGTGAACATGTGTTTACCCCCCCATGTTCTAAACTTTAACTTGGCACCACTAAAAGCATGCGTATGGAAATATGAGACCAATTGGTTGTCGTATGTAACAGTTATGCACGTTTTACTTTCAAAAACAGCACCTCAGGCAATAATTCGTGTGGAGGGGGGCCCTTTTAGACAGCGAAATTTGATGACCGTCTGGCACACCTTGAAGGTATAGGCTACCTACCGCAAAAAATTCCAGGACTCTAGGATCATTCCCCTAGAAGTAGTTCGAACCGGCAGAAGTGGGTCCGGACGGACGAACCGACGGACGGTCAAAACGCAAACAATACCACATTTTTTTTAATTCTTAAAAAATGCGTTAAAAATGTTAAATTCTGATAACACTTAAAATGAACTTTGGGTACGGATCAACAAAATTAATCATAATTAAGCATGAGACATTTATCTGGATCGTTAAAGGGTTCGATTAAACACACGATTTACATGATTTCGCACAAACAGCGTTTATTGTACACATACAAATGAAAATAATAACAAAATCCTAACTAGCACAAATGGACTACAACAGCGTTCGTTTGATATACCCCGCATAAGCGTTCGATTACCATTAAACAAAATCATAACATCTTAAAAGTAGTTACAATTTTCTGTTAAAATTACACAAATCAGAGCACTTGTTCTTCTTTGAATTCTGTTCTGATCCGGTTGCAGTAACTGGCAGAATTAAACTGGCTGAACAAAACACACGAGCAATGAATTAAAGGCTGTCCGGAAACAACTTCCATGAATACTGCTACACCCAAACTTTTACGTGCGTTTTCTTCAACCTTTCCTTTGAACTTGACTGACTTCTTGATTACAACGCACTGAATTCTACTTGGCGAGCTTGTTTATACCACGAAGGGCAAAACTTTGTCACCAAAATTTAACGCAGAAACGCGCGTCTTCTAATTCAATTACCGGAGCGTAGCAATCAGACTAACCAATCAGAACTCCCTTCCTAAACGCTCTCTTAAACACATAGGTAAATTTTACGCGGAATTGGCTTATCTAAAACAAACAATTTTCTACGAAAACTCGCAATGAATAAGTGCTAGTCAGGCGTATGGATCAAAACCATACGAAGAAATTACGAAGATTTTATGCCCAAACAAACTAACCGCTGTAGAGAATCTGGTCGTTTATGCGGCTTTTTTTCATTGTCTCGCCGATTAAAAGAAAAACCGCATCAAATTAACAAACCTCAAATAAATCCGCCTATTTTATTTAATTGAAGACTGACTTTTTAAATCTTTCTATCCCGTCTCTCTATCAATTATATTCTATATCGTTTGTGTGTTTATTTTAAGAGTCTAAATTGTGTAACATTTAACTCAAAAACACAGGGTAAATTACCGTGCACAACCTTCTACCATAAAACAAGGTTGCTCTTTAGTGAGTGATGTAACCGGCACATCCCCTTTACCAAGGCCACCGAATGCATACAAAAAATGTATACAGTAGGTATCTGAAGGTCATTATGCAATTCTATTCTATTTCTGGTTAGTATTCAGCTATCTTTCTACGTGTATACGTATTATTACCAATTTTATGAATCTCTTATCATTTCCTAGAGTCAACCCAATTATAGTGATACATCTCTTTCGCGTGTGAATGAGAAATATATAATTTGCCATTTTCTATATCGCTCCCTTAAAATAAGAGATAATTAAATTAATTCAAAAACGAAACTGCAAAAATACCCTTTTGGCATTCCCAACGCTATCTCCTAAAGTTTTCATCCTATATGGATCAAATTTGAGATATGGTAAATTTCAATTGCATAATTTGTCATTTTTTAAGAGTAGCTTAGATTTTGCAATAAAACACATTTTTCTTATCTTATTAATTGAACGCTTTGCTTTGCACTCATCTCATAGATTGCATTCATAGGGCACCATATAAACAAGGTCGCGTATTTGTTATGGCACAGCACGACCTTGGTCCATAAACAACGACACTCCTTAGTTACGCAACCGGGAAATCCTCTTCACCAAGGCCCTGACTTTTTTGTCTGGGAAATCCAAATCCACGACCTTCGACCAAAACTCAAGGCCCATTACCTTGGTCCGGAATCTAAAGCCATGACCCTGTGACGTCACAACAAGTGGTGGGGATAGTGTCTGGTTTCTACTTACGTAAATTTGAACAGTTTTCCCCTTCGCTTCAGTTCTTCAACGTGTTTCTAAATGTTACATTTATCTGTCTACATTACTTTTTAATCAAAGTCTCTTTCGCTACAGAAGATCTAGCAGGACATTTGCAGATGTGTTACGAAAAAATCAAGCATTTTCAAATAAAACACGGATTTCGAAACCTGCTTCGCTATCTAAATTCACGTTCTTAACAATATTTGCATTTCTCAAAAATACAAATTATATTAAATGTTTTGTTCTGGAAATGTAGTAGGTATATAACACTATGATATGTGGTGTTTTAAAATAGATAATGACTGAAATTAGCGTATCATGAAGGTGTTTTTTAAGTGCTTAGTTTCTTTCAGTGAATAATTAAACCATAAAATTACTTGTGAGAATGGATTACCATCGTTTTATATTTATAAACAATCATAAAGCTAGTTGTAAAAATAGATGAAGAGTACATACCATTTTAACTAGTCAGCAATATTCAACTTAAACAAAAAGGGAAAGAATCATTACTATTCAATACCAAAGACGACACGCAACTCGCTAGTTAAGTACTTAATTGTTAAGGAAAATCGTGCAACTATGTTAACAAAGGTTTAGAAATTTTGAGATTCTAATTATAATTATTTCGGTGATAAACCAACCGTACAATCTATCCGAAATATTACCAAACTATGATTGCGCAAAGTA